CAAGATCAAGGCATCCAACATCAGTATGCTGCACCTCGAACACCACAGCAAAATGGAGTTGTGGAACGCAAGAATCGAACACTTCAAGAAATGGCAAGAGCAATGCTTGCTGGAAACCATGTTCCATCAAAGTTCTGGGCTGAAGCCATCAACACGGCGTGTTACATTATCAACCGAGTCTATGTAAAGCCCAAGACCAAAACTACACCTTATGAGCTACTCCGAGGAAAAACCCCAAACCTTGGTTTCTGTCATGTGTTCGGGTGTCTTTGTTACATCCTAAATGACAAAGATCATCTTGGAAAGTTCGACTCCAAGAGTGATGTTGGAATGTTTCTTGGTTACTCAACAAATAGCTCAGCATACCGGGTGTATAACTCAAGAACAAGAACGATTGATGAGAAAGTGAATGTTGTCTTTGATGATAGAGTCGGTTTTTATCAAGATGGTGTGACACAGCGAAGTGTGTGTGTACCACAACTTAACAATGAAGATGAAAACTCCGTGACTGTGTCAAACAAAGAAGCTGAAGAATCATCTCAGGAATCAGTCAAGGTACACAAGAATCATTCTTCCGATGACATCATAGGAGGATTGCTGGATCCAAGACTCACAAGAAAGAAGCAAATTGATTTCAAGGAAATGGTCAAACTTGCGTGCCTTATGGCTGAAATGGCTAAGGAAGATTGTTTCATTTCACAAACTGAACCAAAGACCTTACAAGAAGCACTAGATGACGAGTTCTGGACAGCCTCAATGCATGAGGAGATGGAGCAGTTTGTGAGACTTCAAGTGTGGGATTTAGTTCCAAGACCAGAGGGTGTTAATGTGGTTGGCACCAAATGGATATACAAGATCAAGACTGACGAGAATGGTAATCCAATCAGAAACAAGTCGAGACTAGTTGGACAAGGCTATTCGCAGATTGAAGGAGTGGATTTTGATGAGACATTTGCACCAGTTGCACGCCTTGAGTCAATCAGACTTTTGTTTGCAATTGCATGTAAGTTAAGAATCAAACTGTATCAGATGGATGTTAAGAGTGCTTTTCTTAATGGTCTGTTACAAGAGGAAGTCTATGTAGCACAACCTAAAGGGTTTGAGGATCCACACTTTCCGGATCATGTGTATCGTTTAAAGAGGGCACTCTATGGTCTGAAGCAGGCTCCAAGGGCATGGTATGAGAGATTGGCTCNGATCATGTGTATCGTTTAAAGAGGGCACTCTATGGTCTGAAGCAGGCTCCAAGGGCATGGTATGAGAGATTGGCTCAGTTCTTGATCTCAGCTGGTTTTAACAGAGGAGGAGTTGACAAAACACTTTTCACTCAGCATGATGGTGGCAATCTCCTTGTAGTGCAAGTGTATGTCGACGATATCATTTTTGGAAGCACCTCAAGGGCATTGGTTGATGAGTTTGTGAGGACTATGACACGTGAATTCGAGATGAGTATGGTGGGAGAACTCACATACTTTCTTGGCCTACAGATAAGACAAATGGAGGATGGTATATTTGTCTCTCAAAGCACCTACGCTAAGAATCTGGTGAAAAGGTTTGGGATGCAAACCAGCAAGACTGCTAGAACTCCGATGAGCACAACAACCAAGCTATCGCGTGATGAGGCAGGACAAAAGGTTGAGGAGAAACTCTACAGAGCCATGATCGGTAGTCTCCTCTATCTCACTGCCAGCCGACCAGATCTGTGTCTAAGTGTCGGAATTTGTGCTCGATACCAGGCAGCTCCCAAAGAATCACATCTAAAGGCGGTAAAACGTATCATCAAATACGTCAAAGGGACACTTGATTTTGGACTTCACTATACCTTTGAAACTAATGTAAATCTTGCAGGATATTGTGATGCAGATTGGGCAGGGTGCNGTCATTGAACATGTTTCTTCTGAGAATCAACTTGCAGATATTTTCACAAAGCCTCTTGATTTTAATAGCTTTTTGGGTCTCCGAAAAGCTCTTGGAATCGTTGATCTTCAGCAATGAAGAAAGCTGTTCTGACAAGAAGGTAAGTCCGTATTGAAATCGCATAAGTCTAAGGTACCTTCTCCCCTAAAAACTTTATAGTGACAATTTGTCTAGTTAGAATCGAGATACTGTCTTACAAGCTGTCACACTCACACTGTCTCGTAGTGAAGGACACTCACTTTGGATCAGGATGCTACAACATTTTGACACTAAGGAATGATCACTGTCTGGAGTGGATGGAGAAAACACTAGTCATGTCGTGTGTAACACATCCGAAAATGTGTGTTACACAATGCGTAAGGCCTAAGATGATGAGCACTCGTTCTGAATCAGGGTGCTACAACACTTTGTCTTTTGGTGACGATCACTGCTTTGATTAGGCAGAGATTGTTGTCTCTGAGGATTAAGATTAAGAAGTAGAGGAAGTATCATTCAAAAGGCCTGAAGTGATAAGCACTCATCATGGAATAGGGTATCACCGTACTTTACGTCTATGGTGATCACTGTTTTGATCAGGCAGGAACTGCAATATGTTCTTGTTGCTCAGATTATAATAAAAAAAAAAAAAGGTGTGCTTGATAAAGATTCACCGAAGTTGTAGAGGTGAACATCAAATAGACATGACTGCTGGTTTCAGAAGTGTGTGAGTGTGAGTAACTTGTGCGATAGGAGCTTGATTATCTAGCTAGATGAATCCGTTTGTGACAGCTACTCGGCTGAGAAATAGCTACAGATTGGAGTTACTATAATGATTTATATTCGTTTGTTCTTTTTTGAAGGTTACCTAGACATATGTGAAACTAGATGTGGACTTGCAATCTTTTTGGAACAGTAGCTAAGAGCATGTAAATAGATTATCTGGCAAATGTTAGTGCTATAATTAAGTTGATTCTTAGAATAGGTATGTTCGATTAAGACTAGAAGATCTCATTGACTGAATGAATGTGTCTTGCTTAGAGTGTTTCTATCGCCGCCGCGGATCTCATCTTTTCTCATCTCTCTCGACATGCATCAGCGAACTCGCTCTCGTCGAGGAACCTCCGGGTCTCCGCAAACTCCTTCCTCCGATCCAACATCTGGCACTCCTAAGAAGAGATCTCGCTCTGAAGCTGGTGAATCAAGTCGACGCCGATCGTGTGAATCTATCTCCTTCCTTCCCAAAGAACCACGATATGACGAAGGTCGCCGCTTGTTCGAGGAGACACTCCTAGAAGATCCTGAGAGTTATCAACCTCCGGCTGAGCCATACAGCCCTATGTTTGCCACCGAGGAAGCTTATGAACGATACCTGAAGTTTGCCGATAAGAAGTTCATCGATCATCAATATCTCCCTCTTGATGATGAGAAGCTGCAGGAAGTCAAAAAGGTTGTGGTGCAGTCTGGAATGATTTACACAGCCATTGATGGTGAGCCGTATGTTCCTGATCTTGTGTGGGAGTTCTTAGCAAATCTCCAAGACGCTACGGATGTCCGTGATGGCGGTGGAGTGGCTGTCTATGTGCGTGGAGCCATGTATGAGGTATCTCCGAGCATGATTGATCTTATGTATGCTCTGAGCCCCGGAGACCCTAACTACGATATGTACTCCGAGAATCTTGATACTGTGGTCACGTTTCTCACTGAGGGACGACATCAAAGGTGGGAAGGAATGTGCTCAAAACTTCTCACTTCTGACAATCAAGTGTTGTACAAACTCTGTTGTACAAATTGGATGCCTACAATGAACTACACTCGCATGCATCCAGATCGCCTCAGGCTTCTCTACGCGCTTCATCACAACAAGCGAGCTGACTTTGGTGTCATTGCATATGAACAACTCATGGATATGGCTCGCTCTGCTGACGATCGTAAGCGAAGAATTGGGTTTCCTTCTCTCATTTATCAGTTGTTGCATTTTCAGCGGGTTGTACCTCGTCATGAAAGAGATGAAGAGCTCACAGGACATCCCACTGCTCTTGTTAAAGATGGTAAAGCTGGCAGAGGTATAGGGGGAGTCAGCAAGCCACCTAATCTGGTCGACGATCTTCAGAAGGTTATCAATGACATCCGAGCAATTCAACTTCGCAGTCGTCGTAAGTGTTTTTCTCTCCTTATCTTTTATTTGTCTCACATGATTGTTTTATCTAATGTTGCACTCAAGCAGGGGGAGAGTATGTTGGAGAGCCAGTGCATATCATTGATAGCGGTGATGAGGAGGAGGAGGAGTAGTATCTCTAGCTAGTTTCTAGGTTGCCGTATGATGGTTGTTTCGGTTTCAATTATGCAGTATGTTTTGAATCTTTCTAGGAACTAAGCGGTGTGTAACCATGAATGATCTAGACTTATTTCTTCAATGAATGCATTTGATTTCTAATTTACTGTGTGATGGTGCCAGTGCTGTGCATGTAGTGCTTTGTGTGTGTGTTTTCATGACAAGTGCTTGAGATGTCACATTAAGATAAAAAGGGGGAGAATGTAAGCTCAGGGTTCTGAGCTGGAGGATTGGAGTGTTACACAGACAGGAGACTGTGTCACACACGAGTAAGCTCAAGTTGAGTTGAGCGAAAAAGGCTGAGGTGTTACACAACGTGGAGCGAGTGTTACACCAAGAGCGAAATACAAGGAGCCGTTTGGAAGATAATGACCCAAGATTCTAGGATGTTTGTTAGGGAANTGAGCAAGTGGTGAGGTCTGTCTCGACCACTGTGCATTTGGGTAGATTAAGAATTGGTCCGTCTCAAGTCAAGTTTGTGACGTTGAGTAAATCGGATTAAACAGATCTTGTAGGATTGTTTAAGTGATTCTTAATAAATCAAGTTAGTTTTCTTGGATTTGGTCAAGTGACTCTTTTGTGGTACCCATACGAGATTTCAATATCTACTGGGACGTTAATTCATAATACGTAATAAATATTGGGTCTGTTGATGCTTTCACTAAAGGCCCATAGGCTTATTTGATTTGTGAGTCCAGTTTCTTGTTGCAGAGAATGTGCAACTCTAATCTTTTGGACGTCTTTGTCCCTCGAGTGTTAATTTCTTATCAGGTAACTCTTAAGATATGAAAACAATGTGCTTTTGGTTACAGATCATACTAATATAGCTTCATCTCTTATATCATTTAGCAATTACATGAACATTACATGTGTCTCACTAACCACAAAGAAGTAATGAGTGTACTTCACAGCTTTTTGTGAACGTTCTCTCCTTTAAGTCACCAAACTCCTTCAAGTCCTGATCCAACCCTCAGATAATAGAGAGCAATGACGTGTCACCAAACCCGAATTAGAAGCACTTCCAACAAGCTTTTTTATGGTTTTAACCGTCTAAACCCAAACCAGATCTCGTAGTGATTAAACAGCAAGCTATCATGTGTCTGTTTACCAAGATACTCAAGTCCTAAACTCTCCAGCTTCTTTGCACACTCGTCTCCTCCTAACCTCGAACAAAACTTCACATTATGCGACACAAAGATCCTCCCTTCGTAAGGCTTTAACTTCTCCACTAACCTCTCAAGTCCAGTCCAGACCAGTTTATCAGGCATGTGAAGAAAGACTGCACTTGCGTATATCAGATCATACATTACATCCGAGCCAAACTTGCTGAACTCCATATCTTCACCTCTGAGTATAAGAGGTCGTTTATGTAAAAGACCTTGAGAGGGAAGCTCGTATCTTAAAGCAGCCATAAGAGAAAGCTCGTCTTTTTCAAGGCAGTGGAAGTGTGTGGGATTGAGAAAGCGGATGAAATGTAAACCCACACGTAAGGTGCCACATCCGATTTCCAGGACACGAGAGTTTGGTTTAAGATTGGATGATTCAGCCAAGAACTCGAATACGTCGCGTCCACCAGCCCAAGGCTCACCGTAGTTGCTGTGATGTTGTTCAACTAGTAACTCACCAGGGCAGGGAAGAGCTGTGTGGTTGTTTGCTTCTTCTCCTTCGTAATGAGATATTCCCTTGTACCTGAATATTCAACTCTAGTGGAGTTAGATAAGTAATGAATGAACTACACAGAGAAAGATTGAGTCTTTGATATTCTAGAAACAGAACAAATGTAATGAAAGATCATCACTTCATCACTAGATTAGTTCTGCAAAGAAAGTGTCAACTAAAAACAAAAGAATGAGAGTAAAACCTCATCTAAAGCCATACACTTTGGTGAAACCAATGTACACAGAGAAAGCTCAAGATTTTAGTATTCTAAAAACAGAACAAAATTCAACACTAGATTAGTTCTGCAAAGACAGTGACACCTAAGAACTAAGAAACAAGAGCAGAACAAGATAAAGATCACATCAAAAGCCCTAAACTTTGGTAAGATCTCATGGTAAGACTAAGAGAGCAGAAGATGATAAGATCTCATCCAAAGCCCTACGTTTAGTAAAAACAAATTTACACAAGAAACAATCAACATCTGAATCTCTAAGACAACAGTCACAAACCTTTTTTTTTAATTTATCTTCAATTCCAGTATATAGTTAAGTAACACCAAATCATTGATTCAAAACAAATAAGAACACTTTCACTTTCCAACCACTTAAAAGAGACAATAAACACACATAGCTAGTTAATTCACATACAACACAAACTTGTTCACTAAGCTAACACCAAATTAAATTCTCAAGAACCATACAATACTAATCTAACAAGCTCAAACCTCAAACAAAAGAAGATAGAGAGTGTAAGAAGATGGCTTACTGTCTGAGATCTACGAGCTGCTGATCTCTAGTACGAGGATTAATCCCTTTCCTAAGCTCATTCTTCTGCATATGCAAACCATTCGATCTAATCAGATCTCTAACCCACTCTATATCCTCTCTCGTCGTTGATATCCTCTCCTCTAACCTCACGTCACCGCCGCTTCCCACGACGGCAGCTACGTTAGGAGAAGTTAAAGATGAAGGACAGGAGCAGGAGGAGAGAGAAGAGGAGAGGAGGAAGAAGACAGCAGCTGCGAAGGAGAGGGAGAGGACGAGTACAGGCACGCTCACGAATATTCCTTTCTGCATCGCTGGCAACGAGGAGAGAAACGCCATTGATGATGAGAAGAGAGAGATCTGTCTCGTTAAGGAAACTAGTGGAAGGTTTGTCACTGTGATTATTAGAGATGCTTACTATAATTAGTAGTATTTAGAGATTAATCGTAATCGTAATTACTGGACTTTTTTTTGTCAACATAATTACTGGACTTGAAAGCTGTAAAATATACTATTAGATAGGTTTCAATTTTTAAAAATATCATTCAATATTTATTTATTTACTTTTTGTGTCAACATATTCATTCCATATTTAATTACTACAAATTCATTGTATTATTTTTTAACTTCCTTTTTTATGAGTAAATAACATAATACTCTAATATACTATAAGATAGGTTTCAACTTTTTAAATATCTTTCAGTATTTAATTACTAAAATTTATTTTTATTATTTTTAAACTTTCTAGATATTTGAGATAAAGATGCTTTAAATATTGAATGCTTATCTTATACACGTATATATATCAGAAAAGAATCTTATAACGCTGTAGATTGTGTTATTTTCCTTTGTATAATATATTTTTTTTGTCAACCTTTGTATAATATATTTACTCAGAGAAACTTTATAGATCGTAAAATTAAGTGGGTTATCACTTCTAGTTAAAATATTCTCTTTTTCCTATAATTAATTACCCGTTTGTGATGTAAATTTGGGATTTATAGTCGTCTTGTAAGATTACCGGTCTATATGTGATTTAAGTTTAGCTGAGAAATTGAAAATAACCAAAGTCATCCGACCAATAGAAAAACTTATAAATAGCACCTTTGTAACACATTAAAAAAGGATATGATATAAGCTTATCCGTAAATAATAATATTTCAAGTCAAGCGGATCCTTGATAGAGTTTGTTGTGTGTTCATCATATACATCTTCTCTTACAAATTAAAAAAAAAAAAAAAAATCTTCTTCCTCCTCCTCCCGATTCTACAATCACCATCACGTCCTTGCAAAAAGCAGGCTGCTCTTGTGTGTGACTCTTTCAAATTTTCGCGAAATTGTGCGAAATTTGGGAGTTTTTTTTTCTAGATCAATCTGATATCCCAAAATCTCGAATTCCTTCCCGCGCGAAAGATCGATTCTTAGGGTTTTCTGGGGTTTGAGAAGTGTGTGTAGTGAATCATCATCATCGATTACATCGGAACTTCAGATAAAAGGTTGTTTCCTCTACGACTTAATCCTTATAAAGTTGTGAAATTTATAGTATGGAGTCGTAAAGTGATGATTTTTTTAAATCCGTCTCTTGTAATTGGGTTTGGCCCTTTTTGATTCTGATCGTACAATTTAGCTGATTTATCATCTGGGGACTTATCAATTGGGGGATTTTGCTTAGCGTTTCTAGAGATGTTTAACTGTTGGTTTCTGGAATAGTTCTGGTTCCTGGACTAATCACTGTACCTGCTTTTTGTCTTAGGAATATTCGTGTTTTGTTTTGGATATTGTAACAGAAGCTGATGATAACACTAAGTCTTTGTTGGAAGAGGAGGTTGTTTAGATTACTCACTCACTTGCTGCTTTTGTTTTTTCTTCTTTTAGTTGAGGATGCACCGGGTTGCAAGTTCCGGGAGTAATGGCGGTTCTGTCCGCACTCGCAAAGAGAAAAAGCTTACCTATGTGTTAAACGATTCCAACGACTCTAAGGTTAGCTTCTTTTCACACCAATATGAGTTGTTAACTTGTTATTGTGTTGTGGACTTTAAATAGTTTGAAGTTATAAGTCATTTTCTTCTCAACTCAGCCCTGATTATGTTTTCTTTTTGTGTAATTTGCACGCCGCAGCACTGTGCTGGCGTAAATTGCTTGGATGTGTTGAATTCGTCTGTTTCAAATGATCAAAGTTACCTCTTCACTGGAAGTCGTGATGGTACACTCAAGAGATGGGCATTTGATGAGGACGCGACCATTTGCTCAGCTACTTTTGAGTCTCATGTTGATTGGGTATCGAGTTTTTTTCATGATACTCAAAAGCTAGCATTATATGAATGATTAGTAATTAGGATCCTGAGGTGAATCTTGTCTGTTTTACATATGATAAATTTTAATCTTATTGTTGATGGTTGGTCAGGTGAATGACGCTGCTTTGGCTGGTGAAAGCACTCTTGTTTCTTGTTCTTCAGACACTACGGTCAAGGTTTGTGAATTTGTTACAGTTGCTTGCAGTATATATCCTTCTTTTTGTAATGTTTTTTTTGGGTACCACTATATCGGGTTCTAAATGTGGCTTTATTTTATGTCACATTCTAGACATGGGACAGCTTATCAGATGGAGTCTGTACGAGGACTCTCCGTCAGCACTCAGACTATGTGACTTGTTTGGCAGTTGCGGCAAAAAATGTAACTTGTCATTCTTCCATGCTTTTTTTTTCTGTATAGTTGCACCTGATTTTGTATGATATGTTAAGTTCTCGTTACCACATTCTGATACTATCTTGATGTTGTTATTATTAGAGCAATGTTGTTGCATCTGGTGGCCTTGGCGGGGAGGTTTTTATATGGGATATCGAAGCTGCTTTATCACCAGTAACGAAACCTAATGATGCAATGGAAGAAAGTTCTTCAAATGGTCCTGGGAACTCTCAGCCCGTTACGAGTTTAAGAAACGTTGGTTCGAGCAATAATATCTCCACCCAGTCATCACCATCCCGTGGGTACACACCAACAATTGCCAAAGGCCATAAGGAGTCCGTCTATGCATTGGCGATGAATGATGCAGGGACGATGCTCGTCTCTGGTGGAACAGAGAAGGTACTCATATGCTGCTGAGAATGTACAAGAACACATGCAATATTTGGTTTATGTTTTCTGAATACTAGTTGGTCCTTTTTGTTTATTGCAGGTTTTACGTGTCTGGGACCCTAGAACTGGTTCAAAGACTATGAAGCTGAGAGGGCACACAGATAATGTGAGAGTGCTGCTTCTAGACTCAACTGGCAGGTTAGTTTTCCTACTCTTTCTTCACTCCAGCAATGGTTTCTTTTTGGTGTGTGTTTTCTTCTTTGTCTGATATATTTTCCTTGTCTTTCACCTTGATACTGCAGGTTTTGCTTGTCTGGGTCCTCTGATTCCATGATAAGGTCTTTATCTTTTTTTAAAAAAAAAATTTCTTAACTATGAGCCCTGTGGCTGCAGTGCTCATAGTTATCATTTCATTTCATTTCTTCTAACTGGTGCTAAATTCATTTGTAGACTTTGGGATCTAGGTCAGCAGCGATGTCTTCATACCTATGCGGTGCATACAGATTCTGTTTGGGCGCTTGCATGCACTCCATCATTTACACATGTTTACAGCGGTGGAAGGGATCAATCTGTGAGTAAACTGCAAGATTTCCTCTTCTTTTGGTTTCCCCTCCAGAGTATAACTTCTTTTTTTCAAATCCATTTATGTGGTTTTGTTTCTGTCAGTTATACTTGACAGACTTGACAACAAGAGAGAGCGTTTTAATGTGTACTAAGGAACATCCGATTCAGCAATTAGCGTTGCAAGATGATAGTATATGGGTTGCAACGATAGAATCCTCTGTGGAGAGATGGCCCGCCGAAGTAAAGAGTCCTGAAAAGGACTTTGAACGAGGTGGCTCTTTCTTGGCTGGGAATTTGTCTTTCAATAGGGCGAGAGTGTCCTTGGAAGGATTAAATCCAGTAAGAAAATTTATAATATCTTCCTTTAAATGCTTCTCCTAAACCTTTTTGAGTCAGTGTCTAATTTTTTTGCTTGTATGCAGCACCCTGCCTATAAGGAACCGTTAGTAACCATTCCAGGAAGCCACCCGATTGTGCAGCATGAGATTTTAAATAATAAAAGGCAAATCTTAACTAAGGTGATATAAACTTCTCTGAATGCTTTGGTAATAAATATTCCGTTGATAATCTTATGGAAGGGTCGATTATATCTGCTGTTTTTTTTTTTTGCAGGACGCAGGTGACTCAGTGAAACTATGGGATATAACTAAGGGTGTTGTGGTAGAGGACTATGGGAAGGTCTCTGTGAAACTTAGGCTTCTTTTTAAGTTTTTGATATCTTATATGTACATGGTTCTGTAATCCTGAAATTATATCTTTCCATATGCAGATATCGTTTGAAGAGAAGAAAGAAGAATTGTTTGAAATGGTAAGTCGCTTGATTTGTTTTCAAAGATTATGATTCTTTTTCTTTAGCGAGACTAGCGTAACTTTATGATATATTGTTCATATCTGCGTTTTCAGGTAAGCATTCCATCATGGTTTACTGTGGATACACGACTTGGATGCTTATCCTTACATTTGGAGACTCCACAATGCTTCACTGCTGAAATGTATTCAGCAGACCTCAAAGTTTCCGGGCGACCTGAAGATGATAAGGTAGATTTAGTGCCTGCAATTAAGAATTACATATCGTTGATGGATCTTTGCATGCAATTACATTTGAATCTGTTTATCATAATTGAACAACTTAGACTCTTATATACTCGAGTCTAGTCAAACTAAATCGAACTTTTGTCATTGGATTGTGTGATTTGTAGATTAATCTAGGTCGTGAAACACTGAAAGGCCTGCTAGGTCATTGGCTGGCAAAGAAGAAGCACAAACCAAAACCCCAAGTTCTTACTTCTGGAGATATTCTATCTGTTAAAGATACCAAAAAGAATCTGAATGCATCCAAAAGTGAAGACAGCAGTGCTGCGAATGATCCGGTGTATCCTCCATTTGAGTTTCCTTCTGTCTCTCCTCCGTCCATCATCACTGAGGGTTCTCAAGGAGGTCCATGGAGGAAGAAGATAACAGAGTTTGCCGGAACTGAAGATGAGAAGGACTTCCCGTTGTGGTGCCTGGACGCCATCTTGAACAATCGCCTTCCACCTAGAGAAAATACAAAGTACATTGCACGACCTCGTTCTCTAATTACAAAATTAGTTTGTACTTTTAGAATCTTATTCACGAATGGTTTCACATTTTACATATGAATAGATAAAGCTCACCGTCTTGCTTAAGTATCTTACTTTGGAAGGTCTTTAAATTTCCAGATTAAGCTTCTTCCTGCATCCATGTGAAGGCTCAAATGTGCAGGTGGTCACACTAGGGAAACTTAGTGCACCCCAGATCTTAAGAGTTCACAAGGTGCAGTTATCAGTAATTCAAAACCAGCAGTCATGCTTGCACTTCCTGTTATTCAATGGCTTCTTTTTTTTGCTAAATGTCCATGTAGGTTACCAATTACGTTGTGGAGAAGATGGTCCTTGACAGTCCGTTGGATAGTTTAGCTATTGATGGAGCAAGAGGAGGACCACAGCCACTGTTTGCAGGAAATGGACTGCTACCGACTGGATCAAAGCCTTGGCAGAAACTCAGACCTTCCATTGAGATCTTATGCAATAACCAGGTAAGTCAGCTTCATGGATACAACACATCAAAGAAACAAAATTTGGTTGCACTTAGTGGCTGAACAAGGTTGGTTTTTGTGATTATTTTAGGTCTTACCTACAGAGATGAGTTTGGCAACTGTGCGGGCGTTTATATGGAAGAAACCTGAGGATCTAATCCTCAACTACAGGGTGGCTATAGCTAAATAACTTATGAGGTAAATTACTGGACAATGTGAAAACCTCATGAGAATGCATTATGTCAAAGATAAAATTTGTGAAACACACTATTCACAAGCTCCATCTACCTGATGGTTTTTAACTTGAGAAGATGATTTCATTTTAGCTTTTTATCATCAGAAAGAAGATAGAGAATTGGCATTAAAAAAAAAGCCTTGGTAGATATTTCATGTGTTCTGATACAGATGCCTTTGTAGATTGCTTTTTATTTGCATTTGAAACAATGATGGGAACATACTTCATGTTGGTATCACTATACTCTTTTATTGCCTTACAGGTTCATTCAAAGACATGGAAGTCTACAGCTTTTCAATGTTTGTTCATTTTGTAAGCATATAAATCATGGTTTAGTTTAACTCAGCTTCATGCTGGAGAATAATTATGCTCTTTGGAGTTCGTACTCATGGGAAGTGGGCGTGAATGCGGTGCTGTCGATAGAAGGTCCAAGTTTTTTATATGAGATGGTGTCGACAACTTTACTAATATTTGTACATTTTGAGCTTTGAGAAAGAGTGAAAACTTTCTATCTCTGTTTATCTGTGCTTTGAAACAATAAAATAACCAATGCTCTGTATCTAAATTGAAATCCAACATTCACTAAACCGAACAAGCTTGGAACCAAAGGGATTATTAGTCAACATAGACAAAAATTATCTGGACCAAAGTGAATCAATCTCAACCAGATGAAGCTCCTGTTACGATCAAACCGGATTTAAAATGAAGTCCAATCAAACCAAGTTTGGCAAAATTTTGTTCTGAACCAAGTTAGGCCGAAATAAGGCACTGAGGTCAACTATTTTCGGACATAAGCTTAATAGTTAGTTATACAAAAGTTGAGTAGAATGTGTTTTGCTGCTGCTGTCATGTCATCTCATGTCTTTTAACTTTCTGTTGCCTCTTCATTAAGCTGGAAACATAAACCGCCGTTTGGCCCAAGGGATTTGTTGTTGTTGGTTAGGAACTGGTTTTTGTCTCTCTTCTATTAAGATGTGATTGGTAAGTTATGGGTACTGTTTGGTTCAGTTGTGGGGGCTAATAAATTTGAGATAGGTAGTTACTTACCACTATGCCATGTTTATTTCGAAGTTGTTGAGACTTGCGATCAAATATTGTTTATTTGGTTGTCAGAGATTAGTCGTAGATGGCCAAAATGTTTAACTTTTGGAATCTAATTTTCTTAAAGATATGAAATAGGGATGGTTATGTGATTCCGCGTGACATCAAAACAAACAATATTTGTAATTAGTCACGAGATTTTGAAAACGAACATGCCATGCCAGGCCATGTATGTTTCTGGCCATTGTCTATTGAATCACTTTGAACCATGGATTTTAAACCAAGTGGCGGTAGATTAGTAGTAATTTTTTAGGATTTAGTGTGACGCATCAGTTCTGAATTTAATTTCTACTGAGAAATAAATTATCATTACTTCTTGATTAATATGAGTTTAAATTTAGAACCAAATAGATGATATGGTGGGTTGTAATCGTTAATCAATTCATTTTATGGTATTACAATAGAACCTCTATAAATTAATACTCGATAAATTAATAATCTCTCTAAATTAATAAATTTTACCGGTTCCAACTTAGGCCGTTTCAAAATTTGACACAAATCGATAAAATAATAAGATAATAATTTTTTAGAAAGTTCTATGTAAAGATATGGTCCTACTAAAACTATAAATTAATAATTTATATTTATATATATTTTATATAAGTAAGAACCTATTATCATATTGTTTGTTTTATATCTACAATGAAATTATCTTTATATTTTCTTAAGATTTAATATATTGTTGATGAGATTTAGTAATATTATATCTAAAACCATATATTTAAATTCTATCAAAATATATATTATATACACCAAATAACATAAGAAATTTAATAAAAATGTTAAATTTCAAAAAATGATAATAAATATCTATACACTAAAATAAAATATTTTCTTATTTTAGAATAAATATATCTTAAAATAAAAATCTAAATAACGAAATTTTGTTAAATTAATATCTCTATAAATTAATAAAATTTTAAACTTCTGTCATTATTAATTTATAGAAGTTTAGCTATAGTTAGAATGTATTCCAAATTCAGATTATGTAGAGTGATAAGTTTTCAGATTAATCTATTTTATAATATTCATTAAATATATTTTTTCAGGGGTTGACCGAATCAGCTAATAGAATTTATGAGAAAAAAAACCATGGATTTTAGTAAGACCGGTTTGACAAGACTTTTCATATGGTGCGTACTTTAGAATTAATGGGCTGATTACTTGCATGTTTAAGACTTTACAGGCCCATATTATCATATGAAACGACGCCATATGGGTTCACCAACCTTATAAATGTGACCAGCTACCTCGGGGCATCACGCTCTTTGTACACTCCGCCATCTTTCCATCTCTCTCTCTCGTGCAGATCTCTCGTGAATAGCGACAATGGCGACCACTTTCAGCGCTTCTGTCTCCATGCAAGCCACTTCTATGGTAATAACATTGTCTTGTTTTGTTTTCACAGATCCCTCTGATCGTTACGATCTTATATCATTTGCATCTGATTCTGATATTTGATGTTTGTTACCGTTTTAATACACTCTCGTCGCATGTTTATGATGTCTAAGATCGAAAGATGTTAGCTTTATGAATCTCTAGTTTTTTTGTCTGATTGAATCTCTTGTCTCTTTGTTAATCTGTCGCGCTTCACAAAACTTGTGTGTCATTTGAGGCTGTAAATTTTTCGATCTGAATTCATTTGAAATACATCTTGCGAAATAGGATTGTTTGGTTATGAATACTACTGCAGAACAATAGTCATTGAGCTGTGTTTTGAACAACAGGCAACACCAACGAGGATTAGTTTCCAGAAGCCTGCTTTGGTAAGGACTAATCTCTCCTTCAACCTACGCCGTTCAATCCCCACTCGCCTCTCAGTTTCTTGCGCGGTATGTTCTTCTCTTGTACACCATTGTCACATTTGTTTTGCGCTTGCTAGTTTTTATATTAGTTTTGTCTATTTGTGTTTAATAGGCCAAACCAGAGACAGTAGAGAAAGTGTCTAAGATTGTCAAGAAGCAACTCTCACTCAAAGACGATCAAAAGGTCGTTGCGGAAACCAAGTTTGCTGATCTTGGTGCTGATTCTCTCGACACGGTAACTCATTAATCATTCTCTATGTGAATAAAGAGCTTTTTAGAGTTTTTGAATACTGATTAAGTGATTGTTTTGCAGGTTGAGATAGTGATGGGTTTAGAAGAAGAGTTTGATATCGAAATGGCTGAAGAGAAAGCACAGAAGATTACCACTGTGGAGGAAGCTGCTGAACTCATTGAAGAGCTCGTGCAATCGAAGAAGTAATTTAGTATTAATCACCTCCCAGTGAAGAACAAAAACCCGCAAGCCTTTGTGTTTGTTGTTTTCATCATTTTCTTTAATGTGTCGAGCTTCTATTGTCTGTTCCTAATGGTTTAGTAGTATCTGTGTATCCACGGATTGCTATTTGTCTCCTGAAACTTTTGGTGTTTGAAAAGTTAGAATAACATGGAATGAATCTCATTTACATATGAATGTTTTTTTTTTTTTTCCTTTTTTACATCGAAATGCCATATGTGAATTAAGCAAACTGTTATGTCATAATGTACAAGGAATCTTTACACATCCATAGTAAGAGTAGGCCCTAAAAAAGAAGTGACAATAGCTTAGTTCATAAGCATTCCTACTCCACCTTGTATCTACATGTTCAAGTTCTTTATTATTCCCAATCAGCGTCAAAGAATCCAGCATCTTTCATCTCTGAATAGTAGACATTCTCCAAGTTCAGATCTTCTTCCTGCAGCAAAACCAAATGAACTTTAGCACCTGAATATGCAACAATCACATGCCTAGGGGTTGTTTTGGTGATGGTGAATAGTGATACTGATGGTGCTATAGCTATTGTAGAAGATGATGAGGTGATAAAGGTGAGAAAATGATAGGTAAGTTCATAGCATAGGCCCACAAACTGTTTTGATGAGTTACACGCTGGAGAGGGATGTTGAGATGAGGGAATTACCTGGAAAAAGTCTGCAAGGAAAGTAACATACAAAAGTGGAAGATAGAAGGCGTGGTAACAAACACTTGTGATCCCATACAACCTGCGAGCAGTTTCAAATTTCTTCCTTACGTTAAGAGAATCCTGACTAAAAAGACATTTAAATACGATAAGGGTTTTACCATAATCCAAAGTGAGCTCCGTTTGCCGCAAGAGTACATGCACATAGGGAAAGTCCATTTAAGGCGAGCATGCAAGTTATGTACTTGTAGAAAGCAGGTCTTGCTGTAGAAACAAAACAACAATAACTAATGGGATGAGTGACAGAAACTGTGAACAACTATTGGCTTAGGCAACCATGAGGACAGGAGGAGTGGTCGATGTATTAACCTGGTAATCTTTCTCTCCACTTAGAGTTGTACATGAAGAATATCATCCCATAAATGGCCGCAAGCAAGAGTTTGTGGATGACCCATAATCCCCATTTGACCTTTTGTATATGTTCATTGTTGTCAATAAACAACTGTACCCCAAATCCGAAGAGATAGATCGCCTGAAATGAATCATGAAACTCCTGACGGATTAAGCTAAATGAAAAAAAAGTAACCAGACAGTGCAAGTTCACATTCATCTCATCAACCATAGCAGAGACATGATCTAGAAAGTAACATCTTGACACAGTTACGAAGACAACAGTACCTTAAGAAGCAAATCAAAACCAATAACAAGCCCCGAGATGAGGAAAGTCCGTGTCAATGCTTCAGCGCCACTCGCATAGTTTCCTTGGAACAGAAAGGCTACCAAGCTCACTTCCAGAAACAACATTCCAGACGTTGTAAACAAAGTCAATACATTCCAAACCACTTCTTTCCCAGGTGTACATTCCCACACCTAAATCATAACATCAAATAAAACTTAAAAACTCGAAAACAAAAACAACTTGTTAACAACACACAACACCTAATCTTGAATCAAGTAACTAAGCAAAGACTAAACCAAGTAAACCATTTCCTCTAATGCAGCATCTTCGCAAAGTTTATACCTTTTACTTACCCTTCTTCAATACAAGTTCTGATCTTCTTAAAGTTTATACCTTTACTAAACCCTAAAAAAGTTTCTTCAATCCAAGTTCTGATCCTCTTAAAGTTTATACCTTTACTAACCCCTAAAAAGTTTCTTCAAATACAAGTTCTGATCTTCTTAAAGTTCACACCTTTACTAAACCCTAAAGAAGTTTCTTCAAATGCAAGTTCTGATCCTCTTAAAGTTTATACCTTTACTAAACCCTAAAGAAGTTTCTTCAATCCAAGTTCTGATCTTCTTAAAGTTCATACCTTTACTAAACCCTAAAAAAAGTTTCTTCAAATGCAAGTTCTGATCTTTCACATACCTGAAGGCAACACCAAGCAAGATTGAGCAAGCTAACAAGCCAAAGACATCCGTAATACGCAATCATAATGTAAGATCTCCGATTCGAGAGCTTGCCCAAGCTCTTCTTCGCCTCGTACGCTAAGTAAGCGACGAATAGAATCGCTGCTATAACCAGAATTGAGTTGTGGAGAAACCCATGGCACTTTCCGACCCATCCGCCGATGAAACCTCCGGTGGTGGCCGGCGAATTAGGGTTTAGTTGTGAAATCACGAAAGGGGTCTCGCCGAGAATTCGCATTTGACTCAATTTTGTACGAAACCCTAATTGAAGAAAAGGGAAAACGATTTGGGATTTGTTTGGGAATATACGTATGTATGATCGTTGCTCGCTAACGACCAAGTCTATAACAGTGAGGCGAGAATATTAGTTGTTACTAGTGGTCCGTCCGCGCTGTGCGCGCGGATTATTTGATATTTGTGTTATGTTAATTTGTTAAAAATATTGTTTGGTTGTTATGTTATTTGCATGAATTTTTTTTTTGTTTAAGAGAATGTTCCTACGTATGACATAAGAAAACTCAGTTTTATTGTATAAGATATTGATATTTTAATATAGGGAAAATTCCATATCAATACACAACTTTAATTATTATTTCCAATTTAATACATAGGTTTTTAGAGTGACCAGAAAAATACACAAACTAAATATTTTTGCTTGTTTAATACATTAACTAAATCCCGTGTATCCATATTAGTTTGGCTCATTAACTCCATTATCAAGACTGTTAACACCGTATAATAATCGTTAATTTCTGTCGTTTAACACTAACCCATGGTTAATAAACTAACCTTAAGCTTAAACGCTGTCGACTTATTTATATTTCTAGTTTCCCCAAATCAAAAGCCCTAATTTCTCCAAAATCTCTCATTGCTTTCCACGGAACAGATCATAATTTAGCGTTGTTGGAAGCACGAGATGTAATGCAGGAGCAGAAAGGTGTAGTTGTTGGGTTACAGTCAGAGCTAAAGAAGATGTAGGGAATGAGAAAGCATAATTTGGTTGAAATTGGCAGTAGTGGCGTAGATGGAAGAAGAACAGAGAAAGCAAAAATATTGACTGTCATGGAGAATGAAAATATGAACCTCAAAACTGAACTAGAGACTATGACGGAGAAGGTGACAATGCTGTGACACTTTGTAATCCCCATGGGTGGGTTTTGTTGCTGCTACGATTGTTCATGGATTAAAGTAACCAGTTGTTGCTCTTATGTGTTTGTCTTAATGTTCGTGTCTATTTGTGTGGCTAGTAGTGTTTTATGTGTTTGTCTTGTTCGTCGTGTCTGTTTGTGTGTAGGTTAGTTTGAATCCTACATTCTGTTTGTAACAGAGAGGTCTGTCAAGAAGAAGAAGAAACCGTTGAAGTTGGTCTGAGACAAGACAAGACTAAAGACTTTGTTTCAAGGAGAAGGTTTCAACAGAAATAGAAAGGCAAGTGAAGCAACGCACCAAAAGAGGAGACAAAGAATGCAGGCCTGCAAGGAGCCGTTTACTCTTGGCGTTAATGGTGCAAAGAGACAAAGGAACCAGAGTTAAGAAACTGATCACTTTATTTAACTCTGGTTTGTTCATTACTTCATGTCTCTTTATATACAGAACATGTATCAGACATTCCACACACGCACTCTATTCTTTAACAGAGAGAAGTGTAAAGATTAAAGGCTCGGTTTTGAGCAAGTTCTTAGTGGATTTTCCGGATCTTCTCCGGCGAGACGTAGGCGTCCTCCCAAGGGCCCGAACTCGTTAAATTCCCTGTGTCTTTACATTTTATGTTCTGTGTTTTTAGTTTCCAAACAAACACACACGAGAGATTCACTTCAAACTGAGAGAGAGAGAGAACTTAAACACAAAGAAAGAAACTTGTTTTCAACGTTAAGTTAACTCTAATCTCCACAGTTTGTGTGGTTAGTAGTGTTGTTGCTCTTACGTATTTGTATTGTTGGTGACTTCTTTTTTATAATATGGGTTAATTCTAGCATTTTGTGTTGCAGAAAAAGCTTTAAAATGCTTAATAATCTGAGTTTCTTTACACAGTTTGTCTCATCCTCACTATTCTGTTCATCCGCATTCTGACCATAGACAATATACAAATCAACTTCACCAACAGTTTCAGTTTCTTTACACAACTCTCTAATCTCGGCATCTTTGTCTTTGTATATTGATCTAGCCGAAGAGATATCTTCATTCGCTACCTTATACCAAACCTGCTCCACTTTATTCTTGATTCCTCTGTCAGCTATAAACTCCTCGAAAATTGACCATGTAAGGAGATCCGGGTCGACAGAAAAATCTCTAACACAAACTCCACCACTGTAAGAGAACTTCTTCCTTTTGCATGACATTAACCCACCATATCGAATGTTCATCTTCAAAGCACCATCAATGTTACTGTAAAAACAAAAATAAAAACTATGACTGATTCTCAGAAAAAAAAAATCAGAAAACAAACGATGTCAATCACGATGGCTAAGTTAGCAAAAAAAAAAAGACAATCAAGATGGCTTCTAACCCTTACCTCATCTTTGTACTTTAAGTTGTTACACTGTAACGACGAACATTCCTATAGAGAAGTAGTCAATGATTTGTTACGTGAAAAGATTTTGGGGAAATTAGGGTTTTTGATTTGGAGGAATTAGAAGTTTACACAAGTTGACATCGGTTAAGTTTAAGGTTAATTTCTTAACCATGGGTTACCACAAACGACAAAAACTAACGATTATTATACACTGTTAACAGTTTTGATAATGGTGTTAATGGGCCCAAGTAATATGGATACACGAGATTTACATGATGTATTAAACAAGCAAAACAATTTAGTTTGTGTATTTTTCTGGTAACTCTAAAAATCTATGTATTAAATTGGAAATAAGAATTAAAGTTGTGTATTAATATGGAATTTTCCCGCTGTATTATACACGAGATTTACATGATGTATTAATATTAGTTGTTACTAGTGGTCCGTCCGCGCTGTGCGCGCGGATTATTTGATATTTGTGTTATGTTAATTTGTTAAAAAATATTGTTTGGTTGTTATGTTATTTGCATGAATTTTTTTTTTGTTTAAGAGAATGTTCCTACGTATGACATAAGAAAACTCAGTTTTATTGTATAAGATATTGATATTTTAATATAATATATTTATCTGATTAAATTTAATAACTAAGAAATATTTATATATTTATAATATATATTAATAATGTATTTTAATAAAAATAATGAATCTTATTCATTATATAAATTATATTTGAAAATGTAAAATTTATTTTTATAATATTAACTTATTTTTTGAATATAAACATATTTTAATATTATTAAATATAATTACTATGAAACTTAAATCCTTCATAATTATACATCTTATGTTTTTATTTGGTTTTGAAAGAAATAGAAAATCATAACATAAATTTTGTATCATACGTTGAATGGTGTCCTTATTTCCTTCTTTTTATATAAATGCTCCCAAGCATTTTAGAGAGACACAAACAGAAACAAATTAGTATCACATTCTCCTACTGTGAATAGTTTTTTATGTTTTTAGTTGCAAGCAGGGCCGGACCTGAACCCATACACAAGAAACATTTGAATGGGCTCCAATCTTATAAGAGCCCCTAATTATTATTTTTTATTTCTATATATTAATCAATATAAAAAATATATAAAAATGTCAATGTAGATTATTTAAAAAGAAGTTATCTATATATTTTTCTGTACATATGATTTTAATTTTAATTTTTTTTTTAATAATTCTTCATATATAGTTTTATAAACTATAAAAACAAGATTCTAAAAAAATTTGGATTGAGGCCCATAAGAAATTAGGCCCGGCCCTGGTTGAAAGTACAATACGAAAATTTGATTCGATAAATTATATTCCTCAGTTGATTGAGATACAGAAACCAAGCTTTGAAGTCATCTAACTCATCCTGAGTTCTTTTCTGAAGATTCTCCATAAGAAGAAACAGAAACACATGTTTCATGAGCCAATGGACTCATCAGAGGATGGACTACGGGTTTGCAGACATCATGGAAGACATAATGAGATTATGCGGCTGCTTAACAGAAAAACATATAGCGAGACAGTGTCGAAATTTTGGGTTGTTCTCAAATGGTGTGGAATAAGTATTCCATCAATCTGAGTGTTATAAACTGTCACATTTAAATTTTTTAAAGTATAGATTCTATAATTTTCTTTATTAATTTATTTTAGTATCATAATTTACATTTATTTTCTTATTCTTTTATAAATATTAGTTGTTACATTGTATTAAATTAAACATTAACAATGATGATCGACCACGTGTGTGTCTACAGTTTTGCGATTATGAGATCTATGTTTGGGGTTTTTGCCAAAACTAACCTACAACTTGGTTTTAACCCCAATACTAGACCCAAACTTCAATCAAATGCAAATCTAACCTAAAAGTGGTATGAAATTACAGTATAGTCCTTTGTGACCAAACAAAAAAACAGAAGATATTTTTACGAATTTAGCCTCTGTAAGTTGTCTGAGTCAGATTGAGCTAGTTTTCAGTCGTCTAGACGACTGAAATATTAGTTGTCTGGATGACTTAATCTTAAAAATAATTTATAAATTTTGTAAAAAGTATTTTGATGAGTGAAAACTAAAAACTTATAATTATAAACATTTTAAAGTGATATAAATTAAGAAATGATAAAATTGATTTATTTTCAGCATAGATGAGTGGAAGTAGTGAATCATGATATTCTTTGGTCTAAGGGTTTGGCAAACATATGTTGTAGCATTGTATGTAATCTTATGGTTAGATTTTGAAAAGCTGAAATGTTTTTTTCAAAAATTTAA